GTAATTTATTTACTGAGAAAAATGTTGACGTGTTCAATACTTATTTTACCTGCTGTATGTCTGTCAACTGATACAGGGCTGGACGATTATTTGATCATGGTTATTGATCAAAATAAAAATTCAGGTCGATTACAGTGATCAGCTCGATCAAACATGTCAGAAATGTGCGTGACAACAGCCAATCAGAATCCACCTTCTCCTGCTCCACTGTTCATAAGTTGCTAAGGAAACATGGACAGAATTTACAGAATTGACCAAACAAAATGTAATCCAGTATWAAACGCTGAAACTCACAGAATTCATCTATTTGTGCAAGTTTCTGAAGTATTTTTGCCACTGCTTCTCCCTGTTCCTGCTGCTTAGTTATTGTTTCAGGTACTTTATAGRCCTCTGAAGAAAACATCACAAACAGCAGCTGAAAACACGCTGCAAACTCCTGAACACTCAGAGGGTGGGAGTTTGTGTTTGCAGAATCAGATATTCCTTTAGAAGAAATGAAACAGCTTTGTATGTTTTATTTATTTATTTATTTGTTTATTTATTTATTTAAGGCATGTGTAACGCGAAATTCAATTCTAAAACATTTTTACTTTACAAAAGGATAACTTTATTAATGTGAGATTCTATGACTTACACATAAAGAATGTTTTAATAATTTTAAATACCTTACAAAAGGAATTTAATGTTCTATTGAACCACAGCTATTTGTTATATCAGTGAAAGTGATATAACACACATTAGTTTTATTTCTGTAGCTATTTATTCGTTAAATTATTTTCAGTCACTTTATAATTACACACATTTTAGGTTAATAAAATAATTGTGATAATAATTGAGAATGGACTATTTGAAAAAATAAATCCTGACCTGTTTTTTAGCCGTATCGCCCAGCCCTGAGAGAACATTTCTAACTCACTGCTCCATCCATTCTACCAGAGCGTGCTGACAGTAATACTTGCCTGATGTATCGTGTGTGGCTGCGGACCAGCTCAATAACTTTGCCTGTGTTGCTGACGGCGCCATCTGTGAGCAGGAAGAGCAGCCTGGGGTGGCCACTGATCATCGGCTGCCTCAGGATCCAGGTGAGCGGTGCCAGGAGGTTGGTTCCCCCCATGTCCGCTCTGATTCTCCTGATGTAATCACAAGCCTGGGCCAGGGCCTCCTGAGGCAGGAGGAGGAAGATATAAGACACACAGACCTTTGTCTTCTGTTGGATAAAACAGCTCAAAACAGAACATTTGTGAAAAAATTGTTAATGTCGAATCAGCTCCTGCTGAAGGTTCCAACATGTCGTCTTTTTTCTATAAAGCCTTGTAATAATTTGGGACTTYGACTGAGTGAATGAATGCTGCTGTTTAATTGAATAAAAGTAAAGTAAATCAAAGGAAACAGTAAAGCTGTGGCTGATGACTCGTTGGGATTGCGATAGTAACAACCCACCTGTGTCTGTTACTCCCTGGCAGATCTTTTAATAAGTGAAGGGAAATCTTAAAACCTGTCATATTAAAAAATGACTAATCTGTAAGCAGCAGAAGCATCTGGCTGTTTTTTCAGTTTTTAAATGTCATTTTCTATGGGGCACTTAGTGCAAAATACAATGTAAAAATATGTCACTAATTTTTTTATTTAGCTCACTTTCTGAGTGTAAAATCTTAAGAAATTTTCCACTAACGGTTTGTTATTTAGGTCACTGTTCTTACTCATTTTTGTGAATACAAAATCTTACATCTACATATAAATGTTAAATCTTAAATGTTGAAGTTAACATTTACCATATTTATTCATGTATAATACAATCTCATGTATAACACGACCCCCCCTTTTTTTGAGCTTAAAAAGCATAAAAATTTAATCCTCAAACTATCTCCAATTTCATACAGACTTCAAGATTTTTCAGCCTTTGCAGTCTTTATACATRTCAGTAAAATGATCATTGGACTGTTCATTTATTTTAACAACATATGTACTAAAAGGTATTTTGAC